AACGAAGGAAAGAATGATCGAATGAATGATAGAATGAATGATAGAATAATGATATTTATGTTTGTGAACATGGATCGATGAGATTCTTCTTATCAACTTTAACGCTACTTGCGATAAGAAAATTCTCTAATTCGTCTTATCGTTCAAAAGCCGTCTTATTTTGTTTATGTGTCGGCCTTAAAATGTTTCACTTGAATTATAAGAATGCATTGCGCATGCATGTGCTTGGGCGGAGACCTGGTGAATTAGGTGTATGATGAATGAATTAGGTGCATGATGAATTATGAGCATGGTGAGTTTGGTGTATGATGAATTATGTGTATGATGAATTAAGAGCATTGTGAATAATTTGCATGATGAATTAGGTGGATAATTAATTAAAAATATGGTGAATTAGGTGCATGGTGAACTAGGTGCACGGGTGAATTAAGTGCATGGTAAATTATGGACTTGGTGAATAGTGTGCATGATGAATAAAGTACATGATGAAATAGGTGCTTGGTGAATTATGTACATGATAAGTTAGATGCATGATTATAATCATAATTCACATTAACCTTTACATTCAATCGTTACGAAGAAAATTGTGATGACAAAAAATTGTAATGAGGGTGATAATTATTATGACGGCCATGATGTTCATGAACTGGAAAATGATGAATAGGATAATGTTGATAAGTTTATTAACAAGTCAGCTGCTGTTTGCAACGATGTAGGCTGATCTCCGATGAAAACATTTGAACCTAAATATTAAGAAATAATGACGATGATGATGACGATTGTGATTATTAAGAGGGGAGCCATGATGATGATGATGGTGATGATGAAAGTGAGTGATAATGATGATATCGATGATGGGAAGGGTAAACAATGGCTGGGCGAATTAGTGAGTTATGAAGTTAATTAAGATGATGGCTAACATGCTGGCAGGATTGATGCACCTTTTGATTGACGAATTGCCGGGAGTTTAAATAGTAAAACATCCTCCTCCACCTCTTCATCACCATCACCGTCATCATCACCATCCTCATCATCACCATCCTCATCATCACCATCATTTCATTGCTTTCCTAACACACCCTCATCACCAACCTCATCATATTCATCGTGTCATTTCATCATAATCATTATACCGTTCTTCATCGTCGTTAAAAGCATCGTTAGAATCGTGCTAATAATTTCACTTGTTTGATTTAGTTTGAAAAAAGTGAACTCTGTAAACGGGCACCTTACTTCACTTACTTAAATTACCAAAACAATCGTGTCTGTGTGTTCAATTTTTGTTTTAATTACTCACTGGTTATCGAAAAAAATCGTAGATTTCTAAACAATATCCAAGCAAGAACTCGTCACGAACCGGTACCGACCGATACTACGGTATTCGGCATCCCAGACAATTAATCTTCTAATGTTTAGATATTTATTAATTAACGGAAATAATTTTGAGTGGCTAATTATCGCTCTTATAGGCTGCTAAATATTGCAAAGATAATTAATAATTTGTTAATATTCTCAGTAAATTCTGTCAATGGTTTTAGTTGGCTGGTAACAAATATATACATAGAGAGTTTATTTTTAAACTAAATTATGAAAAAACAACTATTAAGAAACTAACCAGCTTGAACAGACATAACTAAAGAACGAATGAATGAATGAGTGAATGAATGAATGAATGAATGAATGAGTGAATGAATGAATGAATGAATGAGTGAACGAATGAATGAATAAATGAATGAATGAATGACTGAACGAATGAATGAATGAATGAATGAATGAATGAATGAATGAATGAATGAATGAATGAATGAATGAATGAATGAATGAATGAATGAATGAATGAATGAATGAATGAATGAATAAAATTAAAAAAAGTGCCAAGAAGTATTATGTTCATAATCGAAAATATCCTTTTTAATAAAATGATTTTATAAACCACAATTTTGACTAATAAATATAAAAAATAATGTTAATAAAAAATTATTCCCATAAAATTTTTTTAATAATTCTTACTATAAATGAAATAATAAAAATAAAATAACTATTTGTAAAATAGAATAATCACTAGGAAAATAAAATTATCATTTTTGCCGAGGCCCGCGTTTATTAATAATTTCCAGACGATAATGGGCGTGCAAGGTGACTAATAAGAAAAATGCGCCACATAATTTAATTATTGCAGAAACGTGTTTGGCTATAATTAAAATATAAAAATATACATAAATACACACACACACACAACACACACATGCATGCATACACACAGAGACACACATACACACACATACACACAACACACACACACACACATACATACATACATACATACACACAGAAACACGCACGCACACACACACACATATATATATATATATATATATAATTTATATTCGTATAATAAGTATATATATATATATATATATATATATATATATATAATGTAATGATAGCAATAGCTTACAATTTCTGTATTGGATATTCAGTAAGAATTATTAAGGCATAT